GGGGGGGGGGGTTACATAAGTTAATATTTATAATTACTTCTGAACATACGTTTCTTGGAAAAGTTATTTAGAAAGGCCCCCCCTTTCCAATGGAAAATTCACTTAAATCATCTCATAAATAACCTACATCTATAATGTATTTACCAATCTGGATAATCCACAGCCCATATTCGGTATGGCAACACGGCAAAGTGTAACACGACAGTGTGTATGATTTATCATAGCTTTTTGGGATTCTAACACAAAGAAGCAATCACAAAGTATTATATCTCATGAGTGATTCTGTTGATCTTTTACCTGTTATGGGCGGCAGACATCAAGGTCAGGACCATGATAATGATGATCAACGTCCATTGGCCATAAAAATTGACCCTAGAGTCGAAAATCTGAGGAAAGTTCAACGAGATGAGAAGTTGCAGAATAGCCCTGGAATTCCAGAAAGTGGCGTAAATGACGAAGCTGATGGCGTGGAAAAAGTCGTGGCGCAGGAAAGAGTAGAAACTTGCCAACATCTGACACAATGCGCTGAAAATGAACATAGCAATGGCGGGCCGGAAGTCGTTGAAGTAACCAAGATGGTGGAAGGCTAAGACGACGGAAGGCACAACGTTACCAAGGAAACCCATCCCCATGGGCTCGGCGTATTTTGTGATCTTCTTCCTTTCGTTCCTCGCTGTTGGTGCACCTCTACTCTGGATGAGAAGAGGGTCGTAGATGGCATTTCCGAAACCTGGAAGAATGTATCTCTGACTGATGCCTTTCAGCATCATGACCACAACAGCGTAGACACCTGTTATCACGATAAAGAGTTCGAAACCTGCAGCCACCCGGCGCCCCCAGTCAAAGAAAGCTCCCACCGCCTCAAAAATCAGCGTCATTAAGATGGCGACCAGAACAGGCGGAAGGATGTAGTTGACTGTCACTGCGCAGACGCACAGAATGATGGCGACAGCCATGAAACCAACCATGCCTGGAAGCTGTCCAAGGCGTAAGGCTTCTGGATCCGCCCCATCTTGACTTGCCTGAAGGGAAAAGTGAAAACAAGAGTCAATTTTTATAAAAAAAAAGATAGTTTAAAATTAAGCAGAAGAGTATGTTGGTAGAAGTTGACTGCACTTTCGTCAGCGTTCCTTAAAAATGTAGTTTAAGCCCCTACATGAATATACATAAATACACATTTTTTTCTTTCACTCTCTCTCTATCCCTCTCTCTCTCTCTCTCTCTTTTCCCCTGTTCCTTTCAAAACCCCCTCTCTCTCTCTCTCTCTCTCTCTCTCTCTCTCTCTCTCTCTCTCTCTCTCTCTCTCTCTAATACGGTATAACCAATATACTCAGCAAGTCTCACTTAGACACACATATTGTACGCTCACACTATAATCTTCACTCTCTCCGGTCATCACAACACTGTATCGAGACTACAGTCACCACATCATAAGATGCATACACTAGATAATAAACGCAGTTTGAACCTATGATATTTGTTGAGTTTTTAAACACTCAAAGACACAAAATAAGAATCTTTGGACATACACTGCCATTTGTGTTTTCGAAAACCCTTCTAAGGTATCTTAATCTCTAACATTGCTACTTGTGTTTTCAATTCGCTAAACAGATCTAAATCTCTAACAAATTCAAACATGTTTGTACCAGTATTCGTCCTATGCCCATAGCGCTCCACATAGAAGCAAACACGATGAAGGCAGTCCCAGTCAGATGGTCCCATCGCCGGAAAGACAAGACGCCAGCTATCACCTGGAGCACGCCACCCACGATAATCAGATGCACGCCTGAGAAGAAAAAAGAGTTGATAAATAACACGTCTGTGGGAAATCAGCTGGACTGAAGTTGTCTGAGCGAAAAAAAAGTATCCCACAAGATGGCGTCGGATATAAAAGTTCAGATGGAGCACAACATCGTTCTGCTGTTCACTGTCAAAGAAAAATCTACAAAACCCCTTCATTTTTTATCCATCTTGTCTACAATAAAAGTGTACGGTTTTTTGGGGTGTTTTTTTTT